TTTTATAGAAAGCGTGCAAAAAATATAAAATTCTTAAAAAATGGTTAAAGTAACTGTATAAAAATTCTCCACATTATTAATTAATTACTATATTTTAATTTTCCAAAAAATATGTTTTAATTCGAAAAACACGAAAATTTCGGAATGTATGATCATGATTTACATCTTATCTAATGGCACCTCGTAAGATCACTGATATGATACCCCATTCGTTTATAGGGAACTTTTCAATAAACACTTTAAAGAATTAAACATTTTCTTACAATAATAACTTGTACATGGAACAAATTCAATGAGAGTGATAGGATTGTATGGCTTTGGAAAGCTTGGATCATAACTTGTTGTTTAAAGTTTCAAAAATGACTGTAAATTTTCATTTGTTAGTTGGCTTTTTACCTAAATCTTCCAATTCTCCAATACCAATACCAAATGGCTCAATGAGGATTTATTCTCAAATGTACGATTGTAAGGGCAAATAAAAGCAAGGAAATGAGCGAAAAGCTAATTGTGTTGTTTTCTTTCTTTCTCACTCAAAAAGTTTTTTTTTTTGTTTTGCTCATGTACAGAACGATTAAGCACAGTTAAAAAAGTTGTGTATATTGTAGAAACATTTGCGAATTGTTTTGTTAGTTTTAATATATTGCTCGTTAATCGATTCAGAATGATTTTAAAATATTTATACAAATATTTTTTTATAAAATAAATAAAATGTGTGTATGAAACTAAAGAGCCACAGCTCCACATCCAAAGAGCCGCATTTGGCTCGCGAGCCATAGTTTGCCGACCCCTGACCTAACCTAACCATTAAAATTAATAAAATCATAAAATTTTCGTTTTACTTGATCATTTTATATTTAGCTGTTATTAAGCGGTTAAGTCAAAAATTTTAAATAAAAAACCCCTGATAATTAAATACCCTATTAGAGCCCATGTTATTTAGAAATTACTACACATTTAAAAAAAATTTTAATATTATAATTAAAACTAGATCTTGTTCACAGCAGTTTTTTTATTCACGTTTCCACTGAGGCGTTTTGAGCAAATCTATTTGATTTGGGCAACACTAGTTGAAATCATGTAGATTTCCCATTCATTTTAGACACATCCAAATCTAGTTATTCTACTAGATTTGATTTAAAACATGTCGAAATGTATTTTTCCAACAAGATTTGCTTACATATGTCTAGGATTAGCAAATACAACTATGGGCTATCTATTCAAATTGAATGTTTTAATCGAAAAAGTGACATGTAATTTTAAATAAAATTCACCCCTATCGCCAATCAACATTTCACGTGTAATATGTTCCCTTTTCACATTTTTCGTTCACTCACCTTTTTAAGGTGAAAATATTCCACTGCTGTGAAATTTGTTGATGGAATTTTGTAAACATTGAACAGCTGTTGCATACAAAATCAACTATTGTGAATGAATTGTTCGCAGTTTTCCCTTCGAGGGGAATGAAAATTTCAAGGGAACAAAAATGTCAGTTCTATTGCCGAAATGTAAACAAGTGACAGAATTTGTTCGAAAATTCGAATATCAAGAACGAGTAAGCTCAGTTGAAACACTTTGAAGAGGTTTGCGCAAATCTAGTAATTTCAAGCCAGTAGAAGCATAACATGAAACATTTGTAAGGAAACACCCATATACGGTTTATAAATATTTATATTCATTAATAAATAAATTACTTGCCTATTTAATACCATCATAAACTTTGCTAAAATTTAAAATATGTTTTTAGTATGTTTCACAAGACAATATTAGCGGCAATATTACCGTCGAAAAAATTAAGGGGTATGATTTTGCGTTTAATGTTGCTCGACATAACTCACCAAAATAAAAATGAAACAATTAAGAGTATTTTGCCAAATCTTATATATACGCCAGGTCAGATTATTTCTACCTTCATCGCCAAATTATATATCAGAAATTGGAAAAAATCGCCAATTTAAAATATGATCAGATTTAGATAAGAAATAAATTGGCTGTAATCCAAGGACTTTATCTGTGGGCAAATAAGAAAAAGTACAGATGTATCTCAAGTTATGCAAAAATCATGTTTATTCATTTTTGAAATCTCCGCATCTCTATAATTTGTCAATATTTCATCTTAAAATGTATAATTTAAAACTTTAAAACGTTCTCCTGAAAAGTATAAAAAACAAGTAAGAAATTATAGTCGGGTGAAGCCGACCATATATTACCCTACACCTGTTAAAAAATTAAAATGTGATTTAGTTTTCATAATAAAGCATTTAAGTTGAATTGTACCTTGCCTTGAACCACTTTAGTAAGGAGGGTATATTGGGTTTGTGCTGATGTTTGCAACGCACAACAAATTTGGTCTTATACCCACCTTAATGTATACCATTCAGCTTAGAATCATTTTCTGAGTCGATTTAGCTATGTCCGTCCGTCCATGTAAACTTTGTAATCAAACTACAGGTCGCAATTTTGAAGATAATTCAATGAAATTTGGTACGTGATCTTCTATTGTCACAGGGACGAAGCCTATTTCAAATGGTTAAGATCGGTATATTATTTCATCTAGCCCCCATACAACTGAACCTCCGAATAGGGCTTGTAAACTTTGTAACCAAACTACAGGTCGCAATTTTGAAGATAATTCAATGGAATTTGGCACACGATCTTCTATAGTATCGGAAACGAAGCCTATTAAAAATAGTTAACATCGGTCCATTATTTCACCTAGCCCCCATACAACTGAACCCCCGAATAGGGCTTGTAAACCTTGTAATCAAACTACAGGTCGCTATTTTGAAGATAATTCAATGAGGAGGGTATATTGGGTTTGTGCTGATGTTTGCAACGCACAACAAATTTGGTCCTATACCCACCTGTATGTATAACATTCGTCTTAGAATCATTTTCCGAGTCTAATTCAATGAAATTTGGTACACGATCTTCTATTGTCCCAGAGACGAAGCCTATTGAAAATTGTTAAGATCGGTCCATTATTTCACATAGCCCCCATACAACTGAATCCCTGAATAGGGTTTTGTAAACCTTGTAATCAAACTATAGGTTAAAATTTGAAGATAATTAAAAGAAATTAGGCATATGATCTTTTGTGGTACCGGAGACGAAGCCTATTGAAAATGGTTAACATCGGTGAATTATTTCACCTAGCCCCCCTACAACTGAACCCGACTAATAGGGCTTTTCAGTTCATAATTATGTTTAATATACTCGTATCTCGACAAAAAGCTGCAAACCAAAGTTATATCGAGGGACTATATTCAATAGTCGCTATCTGTCATTTTCATGAAAATGAGATTTTGATGGCAAAATATTCAGCAAACTATCCCGCATCAGTTATATAAATTTCAAAGAAAAAAAATATTTTTTGGCAATTTTATAGCTTTTTTTAAATTTCTCTATCTTAAGAAAAGAAAAATTCTGAATGCAAAACTCTCTATCTTATCCAAAAATTGCTTCAAACTCTATCCCTTTGGATGATTTTCTGTTGCAAAACAAGTCTTCTTAATAATTTGGACATGCTGAACACAAATCCGTCACAAAATCGGTCTAATAGTTTTTGAGATATCGCTCATTATGATACAAATTAAATCAATTTTACTGTCGTGTTTCACCATATAACTTTGATTTTGGACCAAAACATTATAATCTGTTGCTTTTTCAACAATTTGGTTTATTTTCCTCCATTAAATTGTATAAAATATAATATTTATTGATTTTAATTCAAATAAAAATTTTATATTTCCATGAATAACTCTCTATCTGTTGGTTGAATGAATATTTTCGTAGAAAAATAAGCTCTATCTGATATAAATTTGTGAATAATTTTGCAAATAATGCAAAATTTAAAATTCTTTTTATATAAGGGTTTAGTATAGGGTCGTAGAAATATATTGTAGAAGAAAAAATTTAAAAATCTTCACTAACTAGCGAAATAAACAGTTTTTTTGCTCTCCTGAAAACTTGTATTATTTTAGATAGGGACTATTGAATATAGTCCCTCGATATACTAGCCTTGATTGAGCCTCCTGAATTTTATAATTATAGGGTCTCATTTGGCCATAGCCCCTATTCAAAGTCCCCTTCAAAATTTGACTCAAATGTCCACAATTTTATTCAACAATAAGTATATATGAGGCAAGCAACAATTCAATTTAAATGCTTTATTATGAAAACTAAATCACATATTATTTTTTAACAGGTGTAGGGTATTATAAGTTTGGCTTCGCCCGACTGTAATTTCTTACTTGTTAAAAGTGTAATACTGTCCATGGAATTATGATACACTTCAAAGTGTCACAATGTTAATGACATAAAATACGTGGGGTACAAAGAAAGATTAATAGTCGCGGAGCCGGTGTTCAATGTCAATCGACATTATGACACTAAATCGACATTATGACCAAAAAATCAAATAATTTTAAGTTAAATTAAAACACTCAAACTAGAAAAATTTTTACCACAAAATGAATTTACTCCTAATGCATATGAAATAATAATTCTTATTTTTTCCAGAAAATTAAATACATAATTCCCAATTTTATTGGGAGTTGTTTCATTCGGATAAGCACAAAATTATTAAATAAGTTCCAATAAATTGGCAGTAATTTCATATGCAATACGTCCCTATTTGTATGGTGGGAGCTATGTATATATGTTTATATTTATAAAATGTATAAGGTCGCATCTTATTTTTAAATTTACTCTCATCGCATATTTAAACATTTACTTTTAGCACACACTGTATACAATAAAATTTTCTTCGAAACAATAATATGTAGTAATAGGTTTTTTTGGTTTATTTTTCTCAAACCAACAGAAATAAATGAACAACAACAATCCTCAAAAAAAAAAAAAAAAAAAACTAATTAATTCAAATAAAAAAAAACGTCAGCTTTGTCACCGCTAATTTCGAGGAAGTTATTTTAAATATTTGAAAATAAAAATATCGAGAAGCTTAAATGTGGGTCATTCTAAGTTATTGCTCTAACGAACTTGAAATTTTAATTTGACTAAAACAATAAAAAGTAGCAAACTTTTACTTTCGGTTTTTAACTTCTTTGTTTTACCCATTGTTTTAATGCCAATCAGAATTAAGTATAAATTGTTAATTATTTTTTTAGAACAGCACATTCATTTCGATATCTTTCTCATACGGAGAAGTCAATTAAGAAACAAAGGAAGAAAATATAAAAATGCGTGATTTTATTGTAAGGCTTTAATATTTAATATTTCATACATGGACAATACTTAAAATCTTGCTTAATTTTTAGGTTTTATGTTTGGTGGCCGTTGCTTGTGCCGATAAGTTGGGTTACAACTATCAACCTGTAGGCCACTCTAATTCTGGTCTATCTTTTAACCCTGGTTCTGGTGTAGGTGGTGGTGATTTTGGTTCATCATCCAATGTTGCTTCCAACTATGCTGGTGATTTCCCCACTGCCTCCCATGATGCTCCAGCATATGCTCCTCAAGCTGAATTAGACAAAGAGTTCTTCACCTACACTGCTAATGATGAAGATTTCCATGATCCAGCTGCTTCCAACCAATTGGCCAACTCTGTGAAACAAGGTCTCCGTGTCATCTTCATCAAGGGCCCTGAAAACAAGGGACTCGAAGATGCTGCTCTTGCCTTGGCTAAACAAGCTGCTGAACAAAAGACCGCTATCTATGTATTGAACAAACAAGCCGATCTCGGTAGCTTGGCTGACAAATTGAACAACATCAACAAGAACAGCAACAACAAACCCGAAGTGCACTTTGTCAAATACCGTACTCCCGAAGATGCTGCCAATGCTCAGAAAGCGATTCAAGGTCAATATGATGCTTTGGGCGGTCGCTCTAACTCTCATGATGGTGGTGTGGCTCCTGTATTGAACTTTGCCTCCAAGGCTCCAGTTGCTAGCCACAGTGCTGAAGGTTCTGCACCCTCTTCTTCTTACATTCCTCCCGGTCCCGGTGCCTCCTACTTGCCTGCTTCCATTTTCCGTGCTTAGATAATTTTTTTTCAAAGTTTCAATATTAATTTATTGATATTCACTTTGAAAAAGGACTGATGTTATACACATATTTTCGTGTGTACTTGTTGTTTTATTTGTTAATTTGTTTTAATTTTATTATTATTTAAAAGAAATTAAATAAAAAGTATTAAGTTTTTTAAAAATATTTTCTAGAAACCGAAAAATTATGCCATTTCAAATGGACTAGTCGTTTGGATAGTAATATTCGAATTTATGTTTTGAAAATTGAACCTATAAACCTCAAGGGTTGGCATTGTGTGCATTTTTAACTTGAATTGTCATGCGAAAAATTCCAAAAATTCAATATTTGATATAAAACGTTAACCTTTTTACGTTTCCTGCTCTTAATAGCGAGTAGATTGAATCTTTTATTTCTAATTATTCTAGGTGCCCATATAATGCAGAACTACCGGAAAATATCATACTTATTTCTAGCTTTTAATTCCGATGTTATGTGTAACATAAGATTCCAATGGGTGTTATCTCTAATGTTCCATTTAGCCATGTTTCTCTATTTGGAATCAATGTCTCACATTTGATTTTCGTGAAAACATTAGGTCTAATGTTAACGTTTACAACAAAAAATTGATCTAACACCGAAAATAATGGACATATTTGATATTTTGTAGCCCTTGGTTCAAAAAGCCCGAATTTTGGATTATGCCAGTTTTGTAGTAAATGACCGATATATTTTTGAAATTATGATATACATAATTCCTTTTATGAATGTTTGGATGAGTAATAATATTGGCGCAATGATTTTGTTAAAATTCCAACACTACCTACCCTAAATTCCTATACTACCTACCCTAAAAGCAATATAAATAAAAATCTCTTTAACTTTCATATTTACTTTCAATGGGAGAAACCACTATTATTAAACACATTTTCAGATATACTAATTTTAGTTTTAATTTGTATGGGAGGTGCAACGCCCGTTATTGTTAGTTCAACCAAATGCTCATAAGAGATTTCTAGCTGCAATGATTTCCTAGACATAAGCATTTTTGTATTTAGTTCATATGGGAGGCGCCACGCCCCCTATTTGTAATCCTCCAATTTATTACCCAAATGTTCACATGGATGAAAAAGTTGTTTGTGCAAAATTTGAGGATTCTAGCTGTAATAATTTCCCAGATATACGAATTTGTGTATTTAATTCCTTTGAGGGGTGGCACACCCATTATTGCTAGTCTACCAATTTATTCCCCAAATGGATGACAAAGTTGTGCGAATTTTTTATGTTATTTATATGGGAGGTGCCACGCTCCTATTTCTAATCCGCAAATTTATTACCTAAAGGTTCACAAGCGTTTCCTAGATAAGGTAAGAAGGTGCCACGCCCCCCGATAGTCAACCAATTTTTTCCTTCAAATATTTATATGGATATCAATGTTGTCGTACAAATTTTGAGGACTCTAGTTGTACCATATTCCGAGATATTCGACTTTTAAGGAAGTGGGCGTGGCACCACCTTAAATAAAATTGCTAGAACTATTGGATTGTAGGCCAGAGACAAAGTTTCAGCTCTATCGGTCAAGAACTGCCGGAGTTAGAGGAAGTCAAAGTGTTTGATATAAATGAGTGTAACTTTTCACTTATTAGTCCTAGCAAAAATTGTCCAAAGAAGTTCAGTTAGTATACTGGTTTCCCGGTTTAACGAATTCGCAATTGAACGAACGGGCAAATTGTTTCCATTGAGTACCTTATATTATGAATAAAGGGGTAAATTTTGTACTCGATATTACGATTTTCTAAAAAAAAATTCTATAAAAAGAGGTGAAAATAATATGGAAAGATCACTAAACTTCATTATTAACCAAAAGCAATAACATATTAAAATTATTAATTTTATGTAATTCAATGAGTACAAAAATCTACAAATACAAAAATCCTGGAATAAAAATGAAAATAACATTTAACAAATTATATTCAGAAATATACATAAATAAATAAGATTTATTAGATAGACATACATACATTTTAATATAAAATTCTTTATTTAAGGGAATATAATGATTATTTTACTAATAAAGTGAGAAATGAAATTGTTTGTAATGGAAATTGCCGTAAAAAGCTTAGAATTTCACATCGATTAAAATGGGGATCAAATCCCTAATATATTTTTTTATTAGAAAATAATTCATTTTCGAAATGAAACAACTCTACCTTCATTAAATAAAAAATATAGTTTTTTACCTAATTTTAATAAAATTTTTCATAAAATCTTTGGTTTGATTCTAAATTTAATAAAATTCTATCTTTTGCACATTGCATAAAAATGCAAGGAAATTGTCAAAAACTGTATTCAAAAGTTTTAAAAATAGACTTCCTACCTTTCATTACCCTATTTTTATCATTAAATCATAGAAAAGTTGTTATTCGGTTTAACGAATTTTTCGTTTTTACGAATGGGCCTGACATTATATCTTTCGTTAAACCGGGAAACCACTGTACTAACAATTTTTTGTGTCTGGCCTACTATCCAATAGTACTATCCTTGGTGCAAATTTCATCACTGTCACTGGACATGAATTGCCCATGTATCTGCGGCAAATACACATATTTTGCGCGACATTTTTATTAATCCAAAACTGACTTAAAATGTACAAGAGCAAAATAAAATAAAATTATATCAAAAATGTAATAATTTCATTTAATTACATTAAATAATTCTATGTAAAAATGTTAAAAATCTAAAAATTTTCCGAAAAATTGCAAAATTTATAATAATTTTGGAGTAATATACAAAATAGTGTTATGACATTGAAATCGTCTCCCAAAGACCTTTCTTATGATACTAAATTTGCATATCGTCACCTGAAACTCAAACGGCCCTAACTAACCTCCGACCAAAATTAGCGATTTTATTGATAAAAACAAAAGGCCCTTTCTACAAAAATATTTAAATATTAACGATAAAAAGTCAAATTTATCCATTTTTATATACGCCATTGTCAACTATCATAACAATTGATAGGTTTCACTATTAAACAATTTACTACAAATAAAGTGCGTTGATAGAAACAAATTTTTCAATTTAAATAGTTTTTTGCTTCTCCTGTAAAATTTTAAAAATGTTAGATAGGGCCGTTTGCCTTTTAGGTGACGATATGGTTTATTTGCTAGAAATATATCCGTCTGTCTGTGTAAAATACGCGTTAAAATTATACAAAGGTATTTTCCTATTATCATTACCATCATAACAATTGATCCAAAATTTTCCATAGCTCCACGCAGAGAAAAATATGCTTGTGGTAACCATAATCTAAGAGCAACATTTTACGGTTAGAATTATGGTTAATGTTAAATCATGTTATGATCATTAATAGTAACAAAAAATATCATATTATGATCATTATTAGTATAATAAGATATCATATTATAAATATAGTCCCAATATTTCATCATAATATTGTTTTATTAATCATAATTTAATGTTGTAGCGGCATATTATGATCCAATAAGATCATAACATTGTCATTATATTGTCAAAAATAATCATATTGTTGGTCAAGTAATCATATTGTAGTTTCAAGTAACCATATAATTGTTTCAAGTAAACATATTATGTTTTTAAGTAATCACATGACTTCAAATAACCATATTATGGTTACACATTAAACATAATATGGTTAATCTAATGTGTTCGGCGTAAATTGTAATTATTTTTTTTTTTAATTTACTTTTAAAGAAACACAAAACGGCACTGGTATTACCATAAATAAAAATTAATATATCCACACTTTCATGTCAATATTAATATAATTTATATTTTTTTAAATATAATTTTTTTATGTACAAACACAAAACTTACAATCACTTGTATTCCCATAAATAGAATTTAATATACATATCCACACTTTTATGTCAATATTAATATAATTTATGATTATTTTTAATTATTAATATTTTATGTACATTATTTTATGTATTTAATATTTCTTTTTGAATACAATTATATTTTTAGAAATTATTTTTCACAATTGTAAACGTATTTTGCTTATATCTTAAACATTGTATGGATAAACATGTATTTTAAAGTTTAAATGGTTCTTAATAATATAATATGTTTACATAGTTATCATTATTTATTTGTTGTAAAAATAATTATTTTTCAAGAAATGAATTTATCTTGTATAACTCCCTCTAATATATTGTTATCAATTTCCTTTATATAATATAATATGAACAGGAATCACATCACCAACAGAGATCTACCGATCCACAATTGGTCAGTGCTGCTATATAAGGTCACATAACCGCACATATTTCATTGATAAATAATGCTATCGTGATAAATCGACATGAATATGATTTGTGTGTATATAAATTAGGGATGTAATTCGGATGCATTCGCAAAATCTAAGCGAATGTTCTAGCGAATACTATTTCTAAGAAAACTAAACGAAAAACACTCTTAGCGAATGAAAATTCCCTGACCTGTATTTGTGCTTTAGTTGTGTGTTATGAAGTAAAAATGTTGTTACAACTCGATTTTAGCTTTCGCTAAACTGGCATTCGCAACAACCCTAATATAAATCACTTTGTGAAATTTTTTCTGGATCGGCCCGTTATTGGTCATATCTCCCATATAAGATACACTTCCGATAATCACTTAAAAGCACGTATTTTATTGATGAATAAAGCCCCTAATTAGTACTTAATTTTCCCATATTTTTTCAAAATGGTCGTTTTTGTCGTATTGTTTTGTTCAAAAGAAAGCTTAGACCATTTATTTTAAAAGCTTTGTGGTCACTTAGGGGCATATGTGAAAAAAAAAATAATATGTATTTGATCTCAAAATCTAAGTAACGTGGAAGCCCTTAAAGGAAATACTATAAGCTTTCTTTTAACCAAAAAAAAAAATGGCCTATTTTGAAGAAAATTAGAAAATTTTTTTTGGAAACAATGAAGAAATAGCTATCTGAACTCCTTTGGACAATTTTTGCTAGGACCAATACGTGAAAAGTTACACTCATTTCAATAAGACCCTGAATGTCTAACTTTGACCCCTCTAAGTCCGGCAGTTCTGCAAGCAACGCTGAAAATTTACGTCTAGCATTAATTAGATAGCATCCATTTGGTGTAAATTTCATCAAAATCGAAAGACTCGATTTTAAAAGTTGGGTCACTTTACACGAAATTAATATTCTAAAAAAAT